TTGCGCAGCAGGCGGTGAAACCACTGAACTAAATCCCCAGCCTGACATTTCTATTTCTATGTCTAGCAAACATCCTACATCCAGTACACCAAAATCAAACAGACTTCACACTCCAATCCCCAAACCTGTCTCCCACTATTTCCTCCAACTTTTTTTTTTTTTGGCACTGGGGATGGTACCCGGGACCTTGCGTTTTCAAGGCAGGCAGCAGAACCACTGAGCTAAATCCCTGGCCCTCCACCTCTTTAGCCCAGGTGCTCAGGCCACCATGATTCAACAGATCTCCCTGACTCACCTTTCTCCTGCACCCAATGTCCCGCTCAGTCCTACTGTCAAAAGACACTCTCCTGAGTCATAACATTCCCATTCCACAATCTTCCAAACAACTGTAACTTCCTGCCAGGATTATCAGAATAGCCTACCAATCTTATCTGTGACTACAGTCAGAAAGCTCCTGTAACCCTCCTGCTCAAATTCCCTCTTCTATCTTTCCTACTTTTTTTTTTGCAGTACTGGGGATGGAATCCAGAGGTACTCTACTACTCACCTATAGCCTCCACCCTTTTTTATTATGAGACAGGGTCTAACTAAATTGCCCAGGTGAGAATGAAACTTTCGATCCTCCTGCCTCAGTCTCCCAGGATGCTGTGATTATAGGTGAACACCACACCCAGCTTACCATAATAGATACAGATATAGATATCTCCCTTTACTCAAATATATGTCTTTTTTTTTTTTTTTTTGGTACTGGGGATCGAACTCGGGTCCTTGCGCTTGTGCAGCAGGCGGCTAAACTACTGAGCTAAATCCCCAGCCCTCAAATATATGTCTTATGAAAGCAGATTTTAATTTTTCCATGATATATTCCAAGGACCTGGAACAAATGGAACAGTGTGGTAAATATGTAGCTGAATAAGTGAAATATCATGGAAAAATAAAAAAGGTAAATATTCACTCGGCTTTCATGTGACATGCCAACAGATTAGTTTTACATCAAAGATCGTACAGTTGGGCCAGGGATGTAGCTCAGTGGTAGAGTGGTTGCCTTGCATACATGAGGACCTGGGCTTAATCCAGCATTGTGTAAGAAAAAAGAAAGAAAGAAGCCAGGCATGGTGATACACATATTCAGGAGGCTGAGACAGGAGGATCACTGCAAGTTCTCGGCCAGCCTGGGCTACACAGTGAGTTCAGGGTGAGTCTGGACTACATGGTGCAATCCTGTCTCAAAAAAAAGAGGAGAAGGACAAGGAGAAGAAGAAAAAGGAGAAGAGGAAGAAGAAGAAGAGGATGAAGAAGAAAGAGGGAAGGAGGGTGTGAGGGAGGAGAAATTAAATGAAAGGAAAAAGTCCTGTATAGTTATGAAGGAATTATAGTATCAGCTAGGTGTGGTGGTGCATGGACATAATCCTAGCACTTGGGAAGCTAAGGCAGGAGGGCGGAAAACTGGAGGCTAACCTGAGCTACACAGTGAGTTCAAGCCCAGTGTGGACTATATAACAAGAGCCTAGCTAAGAACTAAACACCAACAAAAGGAATTATAACAATATCCTCAACTATGGGAGAAAACAGATACTGACATAACAAGCAAAATTTTACTTGAATGATAACTGAATGACAACTTCTAGAGTAGTGTTTCTTCAATCAGTAGAATTAAAGTATTGTTTTCTAAGATAGACAGAGCCGGGGATTTAGCTCAGTGGTTTTGCCACCTGCTGCATAAGCCCAAGGACCCGAGTTCAATCCCTGGTGCCAAAAAAAAAAAAAGTAGAAAGACACAGAGGAGGGCGACACAGTACAGCAGTTACAAGGTCTCCTGAAACCCAAATGTCCTGGACTCAAATCTTGGCTTTGCCACTTAGCTAGCTATGACATATGCAGGTAATTGCAGTTTCTGTGCTTTAGTTCCCTTATCTATAAACTGAGGGCACCAAAATTCCACAAGTGGTTTTCTGAGGATTATACCAAACGAATTATTGGAAAGGTGCTTTAAAAACTAGTGCCTGGGATAAATTAAATAAACAACTATTTTCTATATACAAGCAAGTTTGGGAAATAGTGAGTTAAACAAAGTTAAACAAGCTCTTCTATGAGGGATTTCTGAGAGCATTTAATTCATCAAGGTGCCCTGCAGTTCTCTCAACAAATGTAATTATATGTATTAAAGTCCAAATGGTTTGACTAGAAATCCTTGGAACTGGCTTTTCTGTGGGACAACAACACTTGAGGGAAAAATAACTTAGAGAATTCTTTTAGTAGATGTCAAAATGCAAGACACAAGTGATACAGAATTTGAAAACAAAGGTGGCTTTCTTTTGTATAGATGACCCAGCTCTAGCTCTTCAAAAATAAGTCCTGGGGGGGCCGGGGATTTAGCTCAGTGGTGCCCCACCTGCTTGGGAAGCACAAGGTCCTGAGTTCAATCCCCAATACCAAAACTATAAAGTAAAATCAAATAAATAAGCCCTGGGGCTTGGGATGTAGCTCAGTGGTGCCCCGCCTGCCTGGCAAACTCAAGGTCCTGAGTTTGATCCCTGGTACATGGGAAAATAAATAAATAAATAAATAAATAAAAGCAAGCCCAGTCAGTCATTTGTGGTGGTCCCTGCCTGTACCCCCAGCACTCCAGAGGCTGAGGCAGGAGGATCACCATGAGTTGGAGGCCAGCCTGGGCTACACAGTGAATTCAATGCTAGGCTGAACTACATAGTGAAGCTCTGTCTCAAAATAACCCAAAAAACAAAACAAACAACAACACAGATAGCTATGACAAATACGATATGATCACTAATTAGAGACTGTCAACTTAATTATTTTCTACTTAATTTCTTTCTGACTTACCCAGAAAAACCAAATTCCTTGATTGCATTTGATAGCCAATTCAGAGTTTCTGACTGGTTCTTGGGATTCTTCTGTGAGAAAGCCATTGACATAACCTGGGGCAGGGGAAAAACAACAGCCGATCTGTGTTTTCTCTCATATTTCTTAGAGAAATGTAGCATGTCTTCAAGGTGGATGTAGGTTAAGGATGGTTTTTCTGATGCTAAAACAACTATAAGAAGGACTTAGGAACAAAAATTTACCTACAAAAGAAAATGAGGTAAGAGATACAGTAGTGGTGTTAAAAGCATTCTGGACTGTTCACACCTTTGCATTAGTGATCATTCTGGATCATATTGCCTTAAGAGAAAATTACTATCTATCTATCTATCTATCTATCTTAGATAAATTTCTATTATCAGGCAACTGTGTATTACCAAGGTAGAAATAAAAATGCAGTACAAAAAAAGTTTTACTTAAGATATTAGTTAGTAAGTCTAAAGTAAACTTTGGGGGAAAAGTAGGACAACTGTGTCACCAACCTGCTCAGCTGTCCATGGTAGCATACAAGCCTCAGCCATTGCTGTCATGGCTTCTTTTGCATTATTTCCACATTTCACATCTCCAATCTTGTCTACAAGGCCATCTAACACAATCTGAGCTGAAGTTTTGGAAAAATATCCTTTCTGGGCAATCAGGGCAACTATGTGCAGCTTCATCTGCATCACCTGAATGAGAATAAGTATCAAGTTATAAGTCAGCCCGAGACATTCATATATTTACTCATTTAGCAGCCTGAAGTTGTAACACAGTTAAGGGTAGCTGAGAAAACAACCAAACTGAAAGCATAAATTTAAACAAAGAAGTGGGCTGGGGATTTAGCTCAGTGGTTCTGCTGCCTGCCTCACAAGGTCCCAAGTTCGATCCCCCGTACCAAAAAAATAAAATAAAATAAAAGGTAATACTATAAACAAAGAAGCAAAATAAATTTTATTCCTTAACGCAAGGGCCAGAGATGTAGCTTAGTGGTAGAGAACCTGCTTGGCAAGTGCAAGGCTCTGTTTGATCCCGAGTTCCAAAAAAAAAAAAAAGACTCTGGATATCAAAGCAGCTCACTGACAAGGAAGAGAGAAAAAACCCCAAACACTCCATGTTCCAAAACAGAGAAGTTTATGAACTAAAAAATATGATTTGTATACTACTCTCTTATGATTTTGCATTTTTGTGATAATCTGAATCCATAGTTTAAAATACATAATAAACGACCATACTGACTATGTACCTCACAGTTATCCTAGAGGTGCCAACAGAAAATCTACTATGCTCACGCATGCACAGATAGCACAGAACTTGGGAGATTTTAGAGTACTTGTAGGCTTTTTAAGTGGCAGAATGGAAGGTATTGTGGAAAATAGCTTAAAGATATTAATGTGATGGCAGACACATGGGACTTAACAACCACTTGCCCTATATTTCCCTTTGTACTGTCTGAATATTTTACTTTACTTTGTTCAGCTACTAGAAATTCTAACAACTACATATACATTAGGTAATAAGCACCCTCTTTTAAGCACTTCTGGAAGGGCAGAGTAAGTATCTCTGGAAAGCTGACCCTTATGAAAGGAGTGAGAACACTGGCAAGAACTGCCATAGTGGGCCAGGGATTTAGCTCAGTGGTTTTGCCGCCTGCTGTGCAAGCACAAGGACCTGAGTTCAATCCCCGGTACCAAAAAAAAAAAAAAATGCCATAGTCAGTTTTTTCAGAACCCTGAAAATTACCAAAGGTTTGAAAAAATGCAAGGGAAATTTAAAGAAGAACTATCAAATATCAGTAAGAAGAGTAACCCTTCTAGTAATTTAATTTGCCTTATTTCCATCCTCCTCTTCTCATTTCCAGGAAGCCATGAAAATTGGCGGTTTCGCTTGGTGTGGTGGCACACACCTGCAATTCCAAGCACTCTGGAAGGCTGAGCTAGGAAGAGTACAAGTTTGACCCAGCCTCTGCAACTTAGCAAGACCTGTCTCAAAGTGAAAAAAAAAAAAGGGCTGGGGATGTAGCTGAGTGCAAAGGCCCTGGGTTCAGCCCTTAGTACTGTAAAACAAACAAAACCCCAACAAACAAACAAAAAAACCCCAGCAGCCTCTATGGCAACCCTGGTCACTATGGCAACCATGAAACCTAGAACTATCCAGTCAATAAGGCCAGCAGACCAGGTTTGGAGCTCTGCTCAAAAAGTGCTGATTTGAAGCACTATCATTATGTGACCATCTGGCAGTTTCCTGGAAAACTATCATTTGAAGGACCCATTATTTGACCTGACTCAGCAACTCACTGGGGAAAGCCTTATTCCCAGGGAATGTGCCTAAATCAGTCAGTGACAACTATACAACATGTAACATTGCAGCTGCCTGAGGCTGCAATACCAGTTGAGGTAAGGAATCTTTTCAAATTAAAGGGAAGATTTGGGAAGGGCCAGGGTTTTAGCTCAGTGGCACCTTGCCTGCCTTGCAAGGGCAAGGTCCTGAGTTTGATCCCTGATACCACAAAAAAAAAAAAAAAAAAAAGGAAGATTTGGGGAATAAACTGTCCACCGGATACTCGGGAAAGACAGGAAAGGGCCCCATCTCTTAGCTCTGGCCGACCTTCATACTCCACTATAGCTTGTGTTTAGATGTTCCCTCTAAACCTCAACAGGATGAGGTGGGGCTTACTTTCTTAGAGGTGGCTGAATCTAGAGTGTGATCCTGAGATTAAGGGCGTGTGATTACTTAACCAGTGATTGGTTTAGCACCATCCTAATCCCTGTAGTCTGGATAAAATAAAAAGGCAGAAAGATGCTGTTAAGGTCTCCCTTGTTGCTTTTGTTACCTTCAGGCCACCAAGCCAAGAACTGTTTCTCCTCTGTAAGGCCTGTCTGCCACTCCACCCTGCCTTGGAGGCAGGCAACTATGAACTGAAACCTCTATGACTTGTGAGCCAAATAACCTGTCTTCCTTTAACGTTTGGTGTCGGGTATTTAGTCTCAGCAATAAGAGAAAAGACAGACAGACCCTGTTGTAAACAGAAGTGAAGTTTTAAGGTGAAGCTGTTAAATGTGGGTCGGGTCACTGAAGGGATGTCCAGCACACACACACACACTCTCAGCCAAAGTGGAAGACATACTAGTTTAGAAATGTCAGGAAACATCGCCCTAGCCAGTGGTGACAAACGTATGGCACTCATTATCACTGGCATGAATGTAAAATGTTGCATCACTTTAGAAAACAGTTTTGTCAATTACTCAAAAAGTTAAACACAGAGTTGTATGATCCCAGCAACTCTGCCCAAGAGAACTGAAATTGTGTTTAAACATAAAAGTTTGTACAGAAATATTTGCAGCAGCATTAGTTGACTATAGCTAAAAAGTTGGGTTTTTTGGGGGGTACCGGGGATCGAACTCAGGTCTTTGCACCTGCATAGCAGGCAGCGAAACCACTAAGCTAAATCCCCAGCCCTACAGCTAAAAAGTTGTAACAACCCAGATGCACCCTGACTAATAAATAGGGAAATAAAATGTGGGACATGTACACAGTGGAATGTTATTTGGCAAACTGCTACAGGCTATGATATGGAGAAACTTTGAAAATACAAAAGCCACCTACTAAATGATTCCATTTATACATAATGTCCAGGAGAGATAAATTCATAAGAGATGGAATAATAGATTAACAGTTAACAGGGACTAGAGAGTATGGGGTTTCTTTTGGGACTGGAGAGAACATTCTAATAGAGTTGCAGAGCTCTGTGAATATGCTAAACAACCATTGCACTAGAAAACTGAGCTTTATACCCTCAGCAGTTACACAATACACATATAAAATTATAATTTTATAATTATCCCTTGTTATGATGTAACACAGAAGGGGTTCACGGAAGTCAGGTGTCTTCCTCTATCCATCTAGAAGCTCCACACGGAGGAGTTCTCAGTGGCGGTATGAAGGGAGAGGGCAAGGCTGGACTCCAGCACCCACTTGGCCTGTGGGGCCAGCTGTCCGGCTGAGGTGCTGTAACACAGGATGCTACAGGAACGCAGTGTATGTGTGAGCACAGTCCAAGAGAGAAAACAGCAGGTGGCAGAAGAGAAGCAAAAAAAGGACTAGCAGGATGTCAAAAATAAAGCTGGTACATCTCAAGTTTTAGTATGAGCTCTCTCCTATGTACACCTAAGTGAAAAATCCTATGTCATTTTCTTAAGCCTCCCTCAACAACCACTTTTTTAAAAATTAATTTTTGTTAGTACTGTACATGTTTATAGTACATAATGATCACATTCATTATGGAGGATTTGTAAATGTACATAACACATCTTAATGTGTTATTTTTGGTCTTCTTCCTCTTCCCTCCCTCCAACTCCCTTTCCCCTCCCCATTTAAAAAGTCTATTTTGTTGCTGTTGTTGTTGTTGTTGTTTTTGGTACCAAGGATGAACTCAGGACCTTGCGCTTGCGAGGCAGTCGCCCGAACCACTGAGCTAAATCCCCAGCCCTGTTGTTGTTTTTGAGACAGGATCTTGCTGTGCAGTTCAGGGTGGCCTTGAATTCACTATGAAGCCTAGGCTGGACTTGAATCCATGGCAATCTTCCTGCCTCAGCCTCCTTAGTGCTGGGATTATAAGAATGTATCATGATGCCCGGCTGTATTTCCATTTTATTTTCTTCAATTTTTAAAAAATCTCTTTTCCCTTCCTTCCCTCTCCCATCTCTTGTTCTCCTCATTTGAAATAGTTTTTTCTACTTATTATTTATCCTTCATTTTGCTCCTAATTTATATTTTACTTCCTAATTTATACTTCAGGTTTCTCACACAAGAGAAACAATGCAATATTTAAACTTGTTTGTCTGATTGATTTCACTTAAGATTATGGTCTTGTGGTTCTGCTGAGTGCCTCACAAGTGCAAGGTCCCGAGTTCGATCCCTGGTACCAAAAAAAAACATGGTCTCAAGGTGCATTCATTTACCTAAAAATGTCTCAAGTTTATCCTTTATGACAGAGTAATACTCTACTGTGTTTAAGTACTACATTTTCTTTATCCATTCATCTGTTGATGGGCATATGAGCTGTTTCCAAAATTTAGCTATTATAAATTGTGATGCTATAAACATGGGTATGTATGTACTGCTTTGGTACTGAGTACCTTAATTGTTTTTTTTGGACCGGGGATCGAACTCAGGACCTTGCGCTTGCGAAGCAGGCGCCAGAACCACTGAGCTAAATCCCTGGCCCATGAGTACCTTAATTCTTTCAGGAAGATACCTAGAAGGGAAATATCTGGGTCAAATGGAACCTCTAGCTTTACTTGTTTGGTTTTTTTTGGTACCGGGGATTGAACTCGGGTCCTTGCACTTGCGCAGCAGGTAGTGAAACCACTGAGCTAAATCCCCAGCCCTAGCTTTAGTTTTTTGAGGAATATCCATACTGCTTTCCATAGTGGTTCAATAATAATAATTTAGTATTTCTAAGTCTCAATTCTATTATTAGTTAGTAAGGCTATAAAAAAGACAAGGCAATAAGTTTTCACTAGCAATTTAAAGACTGTATTTGTATTTTATCCAAAAAAATAGGAAAGCTATCTTACCATTTATCTCCTCCTTAAATATATAGATTGGACTCAAGGACTTTGAGGTCTAAAAAACAAGGAGGAGGAAGGTGTGCACAGGGGTTCACACCTGTAGTACCAGCTACTTTAGCGAATGAAGCAAGAGGATCTCTTGAGCTTAGGAGTTCAAGACCAGCCTGGGCAACAGAGTGAGGCCTTGTTCCAAAAAACAAAAAGATAAATAAAAAGGCAGGGAAAAAAAGGATATAAATAAATCACACAGATTATATAATTTATGCATTTATTTATATAACCTAATTACATAAGTTTCTCCATAGGAGGATGTAATAGAGATTATTTCAATAAAGACATTGAATCTGTAACTAAAAAATACCTGAAAATTAGTTTCTTTCCATCCAGGTTTTTTGGCCAGCATCTTCACTAATGCCTGGCATGGCATTTCAGTTCGGTCCATCAGTTCAACAGCCTTGAAGTAAAATAAGACAGTAAGAGAGTTAAAAATTAGTTCCAAAGGCAGGCTAAACACTAAAATCAAGGAACTGGTTACCTGAACAGGAGAAAGGGGAACAGAATTGAGAAGGATTGTAGAGGCAGCTTAGTTTCTATTACAAAGTTTCTTTTCTGTGTGTGTGTGTGTGTGTGTGTGTGTGAGTGTGTGTGTGTGTGTGTGTGTGTGTCCCTGCCCCACTTTTTTAAAGACAAGGTCTTCCAAAGTAGCCCACTGGCCTCAAACTCATGATCCTCCTACTTCCTGCCTCGGCCTCCCAAATGCTGAGATTATACACATGTGCCACTGTACCCAGCACAATGCTTCATTTCTTAAGTTAGGTGCTTAGTATATGGTGTCTTTGAAACTTATTAACTTCACATTTTAGGAATTCACAAATAATTTGCTTCAAGGAAAGTAATAGTAATAGTTTTCATTTGCCTAGTATGTGGGAGAAACTGCTTATACATATTTTGCCTTGATTTTCCTAAAAACATAGTTATACAGGGTAGAAGCAGTTAAGTATAAAATCTCAAAGAACTAAACTCAGGTCCAAATCACTGCAGTGGCAGATATGGGACTGGAAGGTTCTTGACTAAAGTCCCACTGCTTTTTCAAATTCTTTAGCTCCTTCTTTTCATTACAATTACATACTATATGCCCAAATGAGCCACCATTCTCCTTTCCAAAACAGGAGAAATAGAAAATGATGAAGAATAGTTTAAATGGAGAGATCTGATTGCTTAGTAAGTTTATCAGCAAGTACTATAATTTAAAAATTCACCTAAGCCTTATAATTCAGAATAAAAACCTAACATTGTTGAAAAAGTACTAAGTTACAAGCTTACAGAAGCCATAGAATGTACATGTTGAAAGATAAAACATTAAACAGCTACAAAAAACTTCAAAAGTCCCCTGTCATCTTTAGTTAATGCTGTGAAATATATTCACTGGTTATAAAATATAGCAATTAGGACAAATTTTGTCCACTTTGTTGCTTTTACAGACTAATTTCGTTTACACTCCACTCACCCCCGTACACTCACCTTCTGGAACTCTTCCATGCAGGCTAGCCTTTCCTTCCAGTTACTGCTGTCAAGCAGCTGTATACAGGTAGGGGGAAGGACAGCTGAAGCTTTTTCTTCACATACTTCTATCTATAAGATATAAAAATAGGCTAAAATTAGGAATTGCTTAAGGAAAGAGGTGGCAAGAATTAAAAGTACCCCAGCCAAAACTAAAAAACACACTCCCATAGGTATGCTAAGTCTTCTGCCATAAAGGGTAAGTTAGTCCAAGGCAAAGTCAGTATGCTAAAATGTATGGTAAAATTCACTATGAGTTGTAGAACCAGAGGAAGAAAACACAGATCGCCTCGCAGGCCTCAACTTTCCATGGATTTACAATTTTGAGGCATAATACTGACCGAGAGCTCAGGCTCCACGATTTCTTTGGTCTCCAATCCTTTTTTGTTCTTGGTGCCAGTGTTCCCTGAACCTCCTGGTGCAGTTGGTTTTCCCTTTTTAGGTGGTCCACCAGCCTAAAAGCAATTAAAAAAAAATTAAACTATTTAAGGATTTAGAAGAGTGGTTTTTAAACTTTTTAGGTTTTATAGAATCCTTTGAAACTTTTATTAGAATGAGAAATCACCCCAAAATAAGCATTTTTCATGCCCACAGAATTTTCAGTTTCAAGGGTAGACAGAAAACCATTCATGGGGTGGATGGGTAATCTGCAGAATGCATACAGACATTCCTCATTTAATGACCCAGCTCTGGATCTGCAAATAGGTCATTAAATGAATTGGTTGCTAAATGAGGAGTTGTGTGTAGTATGTACATTACAATATTCAGAACAAAGAAAGTGGTCAGAGGAAACTCCAACCTGATGACTTTGCTTTTATTTGCGTAACTCTTACATCCAGTACTGTAATGTATAACAACATAAAACTACAGTACTGTACAGTACAATCAGCAGAAATTACAGTACTACATAAATAAGATGTACTGTGCAAAAAAAAAAAAGACATTGAGGCTCTAAAGCAAGATATACAGAACTGTACAAAAATTCATAATCTTAGGCCAGGGATTTAGCTCAGTGGTTTCGCCACCTGCTGCGCAAGCACAAGAACCTGAGTTCGATCCCCAGTACCAAAAAAAAAATTCATAATCTTAAGAAGAAGCCAGGTAGGTTGAGCATGGAAAAGTTGAGAGAGTTAAGAGCCAAGTGGGTTGTAGTAAAACCTGGTGGACTGCTCTGAAGGTTTTGGGTCTAGGTCATTTTCCAAAGAGGCAGAAGCTGATAAAGGAAAAAAAACAGTTATCAATTCCCTCTAACAAAGAATGTATACACAGATTTTGTAACTAGAGATGCCTAGGTTCAAATGCCAGCTTTGTAACTGTTCATTCCAAAACACATCTCCATTTCATACTACTTACGAGAAAGTCCTACTCTACACATGGACAATCAAGAAGTGACAAGAACTTTCTCCTTCAAAGTTTACAACACAGCGTGGAAAAACAAAGTAAACAAATGAACAACAACAAAAAAATCAAAGTGAATTATAAAAGCAAGTGTTGAACATTTAATCTCACTAAATCTTGTTTCTTCTTTCTGGAAAACAGGGGTCATGAAACATCTACTTCAAGAGTTGTTATGCTGATTAAATGCAATTATGAAGGTAAATCACTCTAAATCATGCTCAGTAAATGACTAGTTCTCTTCTAACTCGATGCTAGAATTCAGGGTGGGGCTAGGAGTGGGGAATGAGAATCAAACCTTTTGTATCTACAAAAGATATCTTTCATTTTTAAAAGAGCCACAGGAAACATACTCACTGAAAGACTGGAATAGCTGCCACTAGGGATTTGTCCCAATTCTACATGGTACAAAGGTGAGAAGATCTAGACTGGTATGGAGATCATGTGATGTGATACAGCAGCATTAGCAAAATGACCAAAGTGATGTCATTAATGCTAAATGTCTTGCTACATTTAATTTCATTCCAAAAAAATTTCATTACTTAATGATATTTTCTGATCCCTTAAAACGTACTCTTTCCCTTGACCAGGTGGTGGAAGACACTTAATAATCCTTGCTACTCAGGAAGTTGAGACAGGAGAACCACAAATTTAAGAGATCCCATCTCAAAATAAAATTAAAAGGAAGAAAGGGGGTGGGGTTATGGATGTCACTCTGGTGGAGCACGTGTCTAGCATGTACCAGGCCCTGAGTTCAATTCTGAGCACCTCAGTGGAGAAGTCTGGGGAAAAAGCACTCCTATCTTACATATATGGTCACTTTCCTTCTTCCTTCCTTCTTTTTTTTTTTTAAAGTGTTTTGAGACAGGGTCTGGCTATGTAGCCCAGGCTGGCCTCAAACTTGTGGTGATCCTCCTGCCTCAGCCTCCCCAGTGCTGGGATTACAGGTCTACACCACCATACCTGGCTTTCTTTTTTTCTTTTAGGGATCTGGGGCTTGAACCGAGGATCTTTGCATATTAGGCAAGCTTTACCACTGAGTCACTCCATCCTCCCGTCAAGTGATTTCTAACAAGAGTGACAAGATCACTCAATGTTAAGAATAGTCTTTTCAACAATGGCCCCAGGACAACTGTATGTCTACAAGCAAGAGTCATGTTGGATCCTTACCTCTCATATAATAAAGAATGAACTCAAAATAGATTAAAGATCTAAATGTAAGGCCTAAAATTATACAATTCTTGGGCCAGAGATTTAGCTCAGTGATTCCGCTGCCTGCCTCGCAAGCACAAGGACCCGAGTTCAATCCCCAGTACAAAATATATATATATATATATACACATATTTTTTTTTTAATTAAAATTCTAGAAAAATTCAGAGGGTAAAAAGCTTCATGACATCTTTGACAACAGTTTCTTGGAGAAACTAAATGTTACAGGCAACAATAGTAACAACACAAAAACAAACTGGACTAAATGAAAATTTAAAAATTTTGTGGGTAAAATATCAATAGAATAAAACAACTTATAAAATGGGAGAAAATGTTTGCAAATTATATATCTGATAAGGAATTAATATCCAGTAACAGAGAGAATACCCCAAGCTATTCAACAAAAAAAACCCCAATTTAAAAAAATGGGAGTTGGGCGGTGACTCATGCTTATAATCCCAACACTTGAGAGGCTGAATCAGGAGGATGCGTTTGAGCCCATCCTGGGCTATAGCAAGTTCAAGGGTGCCGTAGACTATATAGGGAGATCCAGTATCCAAAAAAGAAAGAATGAATGAAAGAAACAAATGGGAGAAAAAACTCCAACACACTTCCTCCAAAGAGGGTAAACACAGTGAGTTCAAGGCTAGCCTGGACTATATACTGAGTCCCTATCTCAGAAACAAACAAAAACAACAAAATTCCAGTATTATACTAAGTGAAATAAGCTAATCACAGAAAGTCAAATACCAGCTGGGCATGGTGGTGCACACCTGTAATCTAGCACTGTGGGAAGGTGAGGCAGGATGATTGAAAGTTCAAGACCAGACTAGACAACTTAGTGAGACTCTACCTCAAAAACACAAATGAATAAAATATAAAGGCCTGGGGATGTAGCACAGTGAGAAAACCCTGGGTTCAATCTCTAGTACCAAATCAACCAACCAAGGCAGCTGAAAGTGTACCTCAGTGGAACAGCACTTGCCTAGCACAGGTAAGACCTTGGATTTTTGATACCCAGAACCACAAAAACAAGAATGATGGTTACCAGGGACTGGTGGAAGGGGGGTTTTTGAGAGAGTTACTGTTTAATGGGTACAAAGTTTCCATTACTGGGGTCAACACTGGTGACAGCTGCACAACATTAGGAATGTATTTAATAGCACTGAACTGTACATTTAAAAATGGTTAAGATGGTAAAATTCAAATTAAAAAACTGAAAAAATGGACTCTGGTGTTTTGTTTTTGTTTCTTTTAGTTTTTTTTGGTACCGGGGATCGAACTTGGGTCCTTGCACTTGCGAGGCAGGCGGTCAAACCACTGAGCTAAATCCCCAGGCTGGACTCTGGTACTTTAACTTTTTTTTTTTGAGACAGCTTCTTATTATGTACTGTAGTTCAGGTTGGCCTTGAACTCACCGTGCTCCTCCTGCCTTAGCCTCCCAAGTCCTGAGACTACAGGTGTATACCGCCACATCTGGATATATCTACTGAGGTTTTATTTTTATTTTTTTGGTACCAGAAATTGAACTCAGGACCTTGTGTTTTCGAGATGGGTGCGGTGCCACTGAGCCCTTTAGTAAGGTTTTAAACAGTCAAATGTGTTGGTAGAATACTGTCTTCATTAACAGATATTCTGCTTTATTTTCAAGGTGGTTAATCAATCTATTTTTCAAATGAAATCACATTAAAGGAATCACCATGAATCTGAGGCTCAGACTCTACTAAATTCTAATTTTTTTTTTTTCTTCTAAATTCTAATTTTTAATCCATTATTAACCTTAGTGGTAGGTGCCTTTTTTAAGGGTCCTGGTTTGGGCGCTGAAACATCCTTTGTGTCTTTATCTCCTGCAGCTCCTGAACCAGCAGTCCTTCCCGGCACAGGTTTGAACTCCTTCTTATCAGTTGCTAGTCCAGCTTTCTTACCATGTACCAGCTCTACTTTTTCTGAACATTCTTTGATCTGGAAAATGAAAGTGAGATGAACACGTAAGTCCAACTTTGAAACATAACAAGTAAGTTCAACTTTGAAATCATTACTTGATACATAATTTCTTCTTTATTTTTAGTATGTTGTTTCTGTTGTGTATCCTTTTTTTTTTTTTTTCAATGGTACCAGGGATCGAACTCAGGACCTGGGCTTGTGAGGCAGGAGGCAGAACCACTGAGCTAAATCCCTGGCCCGCTAGTATGTTGTTTCTATTGTGTATCCTTTTTCTTTTTTTGCAATGGTACCAGGGATCAAACTCAGGACCTTGGGCTTGTAAGGCAGGAGGAAGAACCACTGAGCTAAATCCCGGGCCCGCTATTATGTTGTTTCTAGTGTATGTGCTGCCGAAGCAAGCACATAGTATGTTGTTTCTAAACCACAACTACACATAAGAAATCAGAGAGGGCCAGGGATTTAGCTCAGTGGCACAGCACCTGACTGGCAGGCATGAGGTCCTAATTTTGATCTCCCCACCCAAAAAAAAAAATCAGAGAAAAGTTTTCTTTTCAAGAAAGATAAGTTATCCAGATTTTCTTGATAATTGGCATTGTATGTCTTATGTTACTTTTCCTCACAAGTTAGAATTATAATAAACTTAAACAATGCCCACAATTTTGATGGAAGACATTCATATAAAGAAAGGTAATTTTCCAGATTATTAGAAACAAATTTATTTCATGTTTTTACCTTATCTACAGATTGTCACTCAACTTTTATTTGGTCATAATTTGAAAGGTTTTTCTACTATATCACCATTGTAACCTAGTATAAAATTTAAAATCTTAAAAGTTACATTTTGAGGGCCAGGGATTTAGCTCAGTGGTTCCGCTGCCTGCCTCGCAACCACAAGGTCCCAAGTTTGATCCCCAGTACCAAAAAAAAAGTTATGTCTTCAAATTCTAGGTCTGAACTGCCAGTGGAGAATAAATTAAATTTCTTAGTTATTAGCTTTTTTTCCTAAACAAAATAGAACATACAAACTTGCAAAGAAAATACACCAGAGAGTATCTTTTAAAACTCGTTTCAGTTCTGTGTGTTTGTGTTTGTGTGTGTGTGTGTAAAATTTTCTTCCAAGTGTGAGCGGTAATTAAAAAACTGAGAAATCCTGATCAAAGGGATACCGGTACTCTTAATTTCTAAGATGCAAAGGAACGTTGTTCCATTTCTTTATAGTGCAGTACTAACTTACCCTATCAAGCTTGAGTTTGTCTACATCGGCTAAGAATGGGTTGACTGCTTTCTCACCAACCACCTTCAAAGCGGTACCCAAGGCTTCAAATGCAGCATCTCTGACTTCAGGAGCGGAATCATTGATGTGCTATACTCCGGAAGTAAATAAAATGATCTTTAATACAAAGTATAATTTAAGCATTACTAGTTTTAATTCAAGCTGATAGTTGTTGGATAAAGAATTTGCTTTTTGGGCCAGGGATTTAGCTCAGTGGTTTGGACGTCTGCCTTGCAAGCGCAAGGTCCTGAGTTCGATCCCCAGTACCAAAAAAAAAAAAAGGCTTTGCTTTTTATAATTTACTGAAACTGACTGTAGCTCTCCTTTTGGCAGTTAACAGTCACTCTTTCACAAATTCTTTTGGGTTAAGGAAGCCTGTGGTTGGGGCCGAGGATTTAGCTCAGTCTTTCTGCTCCCTGCCTCACAGGCGGAAGGTCTCGAGTTTGATCCCTAGTACAAAAAAAAAAGAAAAAAAGAAAAGAATGGAAACTGAAAATAAACAACTGAAACTTAAAATTTCACTTGAAGAAGCCTGTGGTTATCTATGCAGCAAGCAAGTACTTTCTTTTCACTTCATCTTCTATTATGCTTCCCTTCTAAAAGCTCCAGATTTGATACCTATGCTTGGCAAGATATAGCTGAACACCAGTAAGTGGAATCATAAAGCTAACACGTGCTTTCCTTCTGGAAAAGGAACAGGGGCTGGGCATAGTGCTGCAAATCTGTAATCCCAGCTACTCAGGTGGCTGAGGCAGGAGGACCATGATTCGAGGACAGCCTGGGCAATTTCAAGATCTTGTCTCAAAACAAAATTTTAAAAAGGGTTGGGGATATAATTGAGTGGTGGAACACTTGCCTAGCATGTGTAAGGGCAAAAAAAAAGGAACATAAAATAGTTATAGCAGAAGGCTTTTACCTAAAAAGATCATAATCTAAAAAATATTTTAAAAATCATAATCTACATCATGAAAGTCAAGCAGTCACTATATATTATTAGTAGAGAAAAATTTTGCCTGGGTTTAAGGTATCTCGCCATTTACAAAAACAGTCTAGAGCCAAGCGTGGTAGTGCTTGTCTGTAATCCCAGCACTTGGGAGGCTGAAGCAGGAGGGTCACAGTGAGTTTGAGACCAGCCTGGACTACACAGTGAGACCCTGTCTTAAAAAGAAAAAAAAAAAAGACACAGTCTATACCTTGAGTAGAGCGGCACAAAAGGGCTTTAACAAGCTCTTTGGCAGGGTAGAAGCAGTGCAGTGACAGAAGCTTCTTGCAATAAACAGAGAGGTCTGCTGCTTGATAGTTGGGTTTTTATTATCCATCACTGCTAACACATCCTCACTGATGTTCTGTAGTGTGGTCTTTAGGAAGAAAATGTGGTCAGTGTGAGCTTTTCTCAATTGTAAAGAATAGTCAAAATATCACATTGGCAAAATTTAGATAAAATCACAAATTCATGCTGTCAACTTACAGTGAGGAAAATTGCATCAATTGCCTCCTGCAGGGCTTGTACCACTTGAGGCTTCTTCTCTTTGAATTTCTCCAAAATGGTTGGCACAACCTGTAAAAGTAAACAGTTTGAATAGTACCTGCCAGTGAAAAGGAATGCAGTACATGCTGCAACATGGCTACTGACACATGCTGTAACATGCTGACATATGGCATAATATAACATGGCTGGACCAATATTTTCAAAATTATGATAAATGACTCCATACTATATGATTCCATGTATGTGAACTGTCAAATCCATAGAAAGGAGGTAGAGTCTAGCAACCCACAACTCACTTTTTTAACCCCCTTTTTTTGAGTTTGGAGGAATCATCTGGGGCCCTTATAAAGTGTATAATATAGTTGATGTTAAAATTTAATAGTTAGGACCGGGGATTTAGCTCAGTGGTGCCATGCCTGCCTTGTAAGCGTAAGGTACTAAGTTCGATTCCCAATATGGGAGGGATATATAAAAATTTTTTAAGAAAGCTTTATTATATATAGTAATTTTTAATTATAATATTTAAAAAATTTTAAAAAGGACCACAGTTTAGACAAGGCTAAGGCTACTGAGGGAGGGAAGAATGGGAGTAACTGTTAACAGGATTCTTTTGCAGTGCTTAAAATGTTCAAGAATTAGGCAGTGTTATAATTAACCTTGTAATTACACTGAAACTAACTGAATTACATACTTTAAGAGCATGAATTTTTTTTTTATTTTTTTGGTATGGGAGATCAAACTCAGGACCTCGCACTTGCAAGGCAAGCACTGTGCCACTGAGCTAAATCCCCAGCCCCTAAGAACATGAATTCTATGTTTAAGTTAACCCTTAATAAAGCTGTTAAGGGGCCAGGGATTTAGCTCAGTGGTTCTGCTGCCTGCCTTGAAAATGCAAGGTCCTGAGTTCAATCCCCGGTAACAAAAAAAAACAAACAAAAAACTGTTAAAACAATGACCTTGGTTTTATTAAAACAAACAAAAAATTTAAACATTCAAAGTTTATTATAGCTTATGTCTAGATGTTCCCCCAAAGCCTCATGCAACCCATAGCTTTTTTTTTTGTTGGTCCCAGGGATTTAACTTAGGACTTTGGGCTTACAAGGCAGGTGGTGGAACCACTGAGCTAAATCCCTGGCCCTAGGTGGGGCTTTTCAGAGGTGGCTAGATCTTGAGTGTGTGATGCTGAGATCAAGGGTGTGTGACTACTAACTTAATCCACTGATTGGTTTGGCATAGTTCTGAGTGTTGATAATGGGAAGGTTACCCTGGGTATGAGTGCTACCCACCCTAAGGGCGTGTAGAATATAAGGGACAGAAAGAGGACTGCTACTGTTGCTTCCTACTTTTTTGCTATTTTGCAGCTTTGCTGCCTTCTGCCTACCATGAACTATTTCTCCTCTACCATGCTACCCTGCCTTGGAGCTAGCCAACTATGAACTGAAACCTCTACAAACTGTGACCCAAAATAAGTCTTTCCTCCTTGAATTTTGGGTGTCAGGTATTTTGTCTCAGCAACGAGAAAAGTAACTAAGACAAAGTTCAATAAAGTCATTTCCTTTCTTGAAAGGCAAAAGAATCTTACATGAGAATAACGAAGAGTTCTCATTCTGTCCTACTGAACCAATGCTTATCAACTTATTTTCTGCCTCTACACCTTGTATGGGGCCATATAATAGCCATTTTTATCAGTGCTATCTCTCATTTTATTAATGAGTTTCAGGAGGATTTTGGGTCAGGGTATAAGGTATAGAAAATAATTCTTCCTCCCCACCCCAGATGCTGATATATGTCATTGCAGTAGGATATCTATCTCTTCACCACACCAAAGAAAAAATAGAAATAGTACCAGAAATTGTAACAATTTGTGATCAAAATTACGTCTTCATATTCAAGAACTTTTGTTAAAAATTATTTTTCAGTTTTTTGATGCAGGGTCTCACTGTGCAGCTCAGGGTGTTCTCAAAATCACAGCAATCCTCCTGCTTCAACCTCCCAAGTGCTGGGATTACAGGTGTGCACCACCATGACAGACTTCAAGTACTATCTTTAGAAAGTAAAGCTGGAAGGCCAGGGATTTAGCTCAGTGGTTCTGCCACCTGCCTCGCAAGCGCAAGGTCCCAAGTTCGATCCCTAGTACCAACCCCCCCCCAATCCCTAGAAAGTAAAGTTGGAATTTTTATAATAGGAAGATCTTGAGTTTAAGGCCAATATGGGGTGGACAGCAAGACTTTTACCTTAAAAAAAAAAAATCTGGGGTGGTGGAGATTGAATGTAGGGACTACTGTGTGCTAAGGATGATGTATTCTACCAGTGAGCTACAGCACCAGCACTTTTTATTTTATTTTAAAATGCATTTTAATTATTTTAAGACAGGGTCTTACTAAAGTTGCCCAGGGTAGCCTCAAACTTGCGATCCTCCTGCTTCAGTGCCCAAAGTGGCTGGGATTATAGTTTTGTGCCAACATGCCAAGCCCAAAGTTTGTTTATTTATACAATACTAGGGATTCAACTCAGGATATTTGCACTGGGCTACATCCCTAGCCTCTGTCTCCCCTTTATCTTTTTTCTTCTTTTCTTTTGAAACAGGGTCTTGCTATGTAGTTCAGGCTGGCCTTGAACTTATTATATAGCCTTGGCAGACCTCCAACGCGTGATCTTCCTGCCTCAGCCTCCTGAGTGCTAGGACTATAGGTGTGCTCCACCACACCCAGCCCCTGCTCCTTTTTATATTTTTGACACAGAGCCTCAGCTAAGTTGTCAAGTTTCCCAGGCTGGTCTCGAACTTGTGATGCTCCTGCCTCAGCCTCCCTGAGTGCTGAGACTATAAGCATGCACCACCATCCCTGGCTTCCAAAGTTATTTTAGAGATTCAAAAGATATAACAAAATCGAGGGCCGGGGATTTAGCTCAGTGGTTTCGCAGCCTGCTGCGCATGCGCAAGGACCTGAGTTCGATCCCCAGTACCAGAAGATATAATAAAATCGGGCCGGGGATTTGGCTCAGTGGTTTTGCGGCCTGCTGCGCAAGCGGAAGGATCTGAGTTCGATCCCTGGCACCAAAAAAAAAAAAATAATAATAATAATAATAAAATCAATGGCAATCCCCCAACATTTTTTTTTTTTTTTTGGTACCGGGGATCGAACTTGGGTCCTTGCGCTTACGCAGCAGGCAGTGAAACCACTGAGCTAAATCCCCGGCCCAACATTTATTTTCAATATTTCACAGAAGTGGTACCGACCAGAAAGAACATGGTTCCCATGAGAAATACAGACTTTTTAATGCCAGGAGTTAGTTATAAGCTTGAAAAATTAAGGTAGTATATTGGCTATATAGCTAAAGTTCACTTTTACAAATATTACCACAAAAATAACATAAATAGCTAAACACTATCATGTTTGATACTAAATATGTGTATATTACAGTTTTGAGGGGAAAAAAATCCTCCATTACAGATCACTGAAGTTATCTTAAAGCTTAATGATAAAGTGAAATGAAGCTAATCAGATTTCAAACTAAGGCCCAAGTAATCATCTAATCACCATTTAGTAAGTTAAAATTCATTTTAAAAGTTGTTTTCTACCTTGAAAAGTTACTCCTAATACTAAGGTATAAAATATCCTAAAAAAAACATAAAACACATATTGACCAAGTTAATATACTGATATCATATACAATGTAGAAACAAGTATTTGCTACTATAAAATAGATAATTTTGATCCAATATATCATTTACACGTCTAAAGGGTTTATAGATTTTTATTTTTATTTTTTAACTGCTGAGCTCAAGGAAGCCTTCTGCCTCAGCCTCTTAAGAAGCTGGGAATACAGGCGTGCCCCAACATGCCAGACAGCAGACCTTTATTTTTACTTCCCTGGTAATGAGTCAGTCATGATTTATTTTTATTTGGTAGTATCTTTTGTTTGGTTAAGTTCTCTGAAATTATTTTTAATGTTATGAGTAAGCCAGCTCTAAATAACATAGCTCAAGTGTTGCTAGACATTAGCTACATTCTATAAAACACACATGATGAGGGTCTGTTAGACTCTTGAGTCAGTCTAAGAAATCAAATGATCAAGTAACTAGAAAGTTAAACTCTCAAGTTCAATATGACCAATTTTCAGGAATGCTAAACATTTCTAATTCAGACAAGATTTAGAGGCCAACTGATAGCTGCCATGGTTAAAGAAAATATCTCAGGGCCGGGGATTTAGCTCAGTGGTTCCACCACCTGCCTTGCAAATGCAAGGTCCCAAGTTCAATCCCTGGTACCAAAGAAAAAAAAAAAAGAAAGAAAGAAAGAAAATATCTCAACTTATACACACTATTACAAATTTGACTGCCACTAAACTTATACAGTACAAAGAAAATAGTATATTCAACAAATGTCTACCATTAAGCTATACCCTAGCCCCCAGTTACTATAAACTTTACTCTTTTAAATAACACATTATTAATTAATCAACGGGTCACAGAAGAAATCAAGGAAGAAATACAAATGCTCCTAGAATCAAATAATGGAACCACAACACACCAAAACCCATGGGACACAATCAAAGCTATTCTAAGAGGGAAATTTATAACTGTGTATGCACACATAAAAAGAATAGAGTGATTTCAAATAAATAACCTAATGATGTATCTCACAGTCTTAATAAGAATAATTCAAATCTGAAACTAATAGAAAGAAATTATAAAAGGTGGGCTGGGGATTTAGTTCAGCGGTGCCACACCTGCCTTGCAAGCACAAGGTCCTGAGTTCGATCCCCGGCACCAAGAAAAAAAAAAGAAAGAAAATTATAAAAGGTCAGAATAAAAATTAATAAAATTAAGATTTTAAAAAATACAAAAGAGCCAAGGATTTAGCTCAGTGGCTTTGCCGCCTGCTGTACAAGCACAAGGACCCGAGTTCGATCCCCGGTACCAAAAAAAAAAAACCTCTAAAAAAATACAATGGATCAATTAAAAGAGTTGGTTCTCTGAAAGGATGGGAAGGGTATCAGGGGATGAGGGGAGATGAGAGGGAAAGAAAGTGAAGAGGAGGTGAAAAGGATCGAGATGCAATATGTATATCTACCAATTCCCCAGTGAAGAATGAATTTACTATTATCTCAAACATATACTAATAAAAAAGGGAGAAAAATTTTTACTCTGTCTTGCTATAGTGTATACAGTTGTAACAAGAAAGGAAAATATTAATAAGTAAATCAGTAGTAAGCAAATAAACCAACTCAAGTACATACTTTAGGCCAAATGCCTGATTTTATACATACACCTTAAGAATTTAGTTATAACTGACATCTTTATTGAAATTTGTGAGGAGCCATGTTGAGCATTATACAACTTGGTAAAAGTAAAAACTTACTTTGTCAAATATATGTAAGATAAGATCTATGCCAAAAAGTTGTTTTAAAGCATAAAGCAAACTAGTCTGCTATTTTTGCTTATTTGTAGATTCAAATCTAAAAAGAATTATTACTTACATGTCCTGCATATTGTCCAAATTTCTTCCTTAGCCCAACAGCCAGGCCAGTAAGACATTTTGCTGCCAGAGCTACCAACATGACATTGGTGTCCTTTCCAACAACCTACAATGGAAGAAAAAGGAAAACAAGACAGTCACAACTGTGTAGAAGAGTACTGAAAAACATTCTCAAAAGAACTCTGAAAGCTACTGTGCTAATGGATGATCCATCTTATTTCCTATAAAAGAGGAAACCTTATTCCTCTTTGATAATAATGAATCTAGAAGCCTTTGTCATGTTCAGTCTATCTTTAAGTTCTACATAAAGCACACATAAAACAACTTCAAATCGCTTGACACAGGTGGCAATTTGGGCTGTCACCATCACACAGCTGCAGGAGGTGACTCAGATAACGGCGATGCTGCAGGTTTACTTTTGGAACAAGAAAATTAAAAAAGTGTACTTAACACCACAGGGCCCAAAGTAGGTAACTACAATGTCTAATATTTATACTCATGAAGTACCAACAGAAACTTTGAAGTTCAGAACTCAAAATTTCAAATGCATCTGAGGGAGTGCCTAGCTTTGGAGCTGCCACTGTAGTCATACAAGGACAGTCATATAACCTCTGAGAAATGGAAAGCCCACAGAATACTGAAAAAAAGACAGTTTTAAAAATAATTTCAGAAATCCAAAAGGAATTTCAAAATAAGTTTTTTACTGTTTACACTAGAAGAAAAAAATGGGAAATTAATTAGATTACTTGATTTAGATAACAGAGAGAAAACAATATTAACTGTAGGAGGAGGAATCAAGTCTGTATCTTAATTCCTTAATATCATTTTTTTTTTTTTTTTGTAGTACCAGGGATTGAACTCAGGACTTGTGAGGCAGGCACAGCACCACTGAGCTAAATCCCCAGCCCTCTTAATATCATTTTTTTCTTCCCATTTTCCCATTTTTGATATGCTGCTGTGAAGTCAACATAATATGAAGTTTGCATATTTGTGTGTGCACCTAAGTAAAATCAAATATAAATATTGCGATGTCATGGTTCAGATTAATTCACACAATGATGAAATTAAGTTTTCATCATTTTAAATATTTTAGCCACAAAATTAACTTTCTTTTTACTTGCAACTTTTGACTGATAAAGTTTCTACAGCTGCCTAGATTTCTCAGGTATCTACTGACTATGTCTACTCAGACTATGTCATGGGCTGGAGCTGTAACTCAGTGGTAGACCATGTGCTGAGCATACTCGAGACCCTGAGTTTGATCCTCAGTACCACAAATAAGGAGAGGAAAAATAAGAATAAGAAAAAGAAAAAGAAAACCAACAGTTCCCTTTGTATGCAACACAGTGAGATTACAGTTATAGTCACAATGCCAACAGAAATCACAGAACTGTCTTTGAAAAGCTAACAACCTAAAAAAAATGTGTATAGAGAATACCCATTCCTATTAAAGACAAAAATAAAAAGCTATTTCCTGTTTCTTAGTGTCCTCTTCCTCTCTCCTTCCCATTCTTTCCTCCAGATCTCAGGTCGCTAACTCCTTTTCCCTCAGGGAAATTGTTTTTTAATTAATCATGTCTATGGCCCTTTAAAATACAAAATTGGTGAATGAACAAAGATCTGACAAATCATATCCTTGCCATCAAGTCCCATTTGGAGGAAAGCATAGGAAAGTCAACTACTACAGTATTAGGAAATGTAGGTGACCTCATTAGTCACTGATGTGTACTGGTGCTAACATTTATTTATAACTCCAAATCCGAGCCCATGGCACTTTCCTGGTCATTCACAGACAAGAACAGAGCTGTGAAAATCTGTTGTCCAATGTGCACGTTCCCAGCTGGGATAGGATAAGGCAATGCTCTGCCTTCTTCTTTGAGCTCTCTTACTCTAAACAAGTGTCGTTTTTAGTCTATTTAGTGCTGCATTTTTTGCATTTCTGTGCTTTCTGATGATGTGAAGGCCCAAATGTACTGCTGGAGTGCTGTACAGTCTTCCTAAGTGCAAAAGGTCACAAAGAAAATACATATGCTCAATTAGCTTCATTCAGGCATGAGTTATGGTGCAGTATTAATCAACAATATATATTAAATAAGATGTCTTCGCACAGAATCTTTAATACATTATTTTTTAGAATTTAAAAATTACTGTTTTAGGGCCTTGGGATTTAGCTCAGTGGTTCTGCTGACTGCCTCGCAAGTGCAAGGTCCCGAGTTTGATCCCCAGTACCAAAAAAAAAAAAAAAAATTACTGTTTTATTTAGTTTACTTTTTTATTAGTTTGGAGGGATTATTTTTCATTCCTTATTAATACTTTGACTTGATATGATATTTTACAGCTTCTACAAACCTTCTTTAAAGCTTTTACTAAATCCGCATAATCTCCTGCTTCCAGTTTGGGGTTTTTCACTAGCACTTCTACAGCCTCCAGGGCTTCTTTTCTCTCTTGCCATTTTTTTGCCTCCTGCAAGACACAATATGGATCACTTACACAACAGAAAATAAAAGAGCAGAATCAAAGTCTATTTCTTGCACTCTACTAATTCAAAGATATACTTTTGTTTGTTTTTGAGACAGGGTCTCACTATGTATTTCAGGCTGGCCTTGAACTCACTATGTAGTAGCCCAAACTGGCCTTGAACTTGCAAAATTCCTGCCTCACCCTCCTGAGTGCTGGGATTACAGATGTGTACCACCATGCCCAGCAAAGACATAATTTTTGTTTTCAGAAACTTTTTCTAAAGTTAGTTTAAAAAACTGAAAAGCCAATCAGACTATTTTGTTCACATAATTTTTGTTCACATACAAAACATATTCTCATAAGATTTCATAGCCCTAGGGCCGGGGATTTAGCTCAGTGGTTCCAGCGCCTGCCTCACAAGCACAAGGATCCAAGTTCGATCCCCGGTACCAAAAAAGAAAAAAAAAAGATTTCATAGCCCTAAAGCAGTGATGGCAAATCTAAAAGGTTCATCATCACTGCCCTAAAGTAATATATGTAAACAGAATCCCATACATTTCCATCTCATTTTCTAAGCAAATGTTGGTAAACAGGTAAACAAAAAGCCGAAGAAAAAAAAAAGATTTCTAGCCTATCTCACAGTGACACAATTACAGGAGAAAATTTTCTATTCTTGACAACTAATATTAGAAAGACCAGAAAAGAACAATCACATAACAAGCAACCAAAACTGCTCTAACCTTGAAGATCCATTTTGTGATTGAGTATAACACTAATCATTTTGTTTTATGGCTACAAGGTAGAATGTTTTTCACCAGAGATCAAGTAATTATTCAACAATTTGAACACTTACTATTTGAAAGGATGAGATACAAAGAAGATGACAAACTTGCCACATTGGTGGAGACTACAATTCAATTCATCAAGTATTTGTTTGTTATACAGAAGTTAACTGGTTACTCAAGGAGCTGATAGCAGAGCTCCAAAGATCTTCAGTAAAGAACCCCCAGGTGAAGGTCACTATGACAGAGAAGTGTTAAGATGCCTTGGTATAGAGAGGATTTAGCCTAGTTTAGGCAGTCAGGTGGGATCTCCCCTAAAGAACTTATGCTTAAGATTAGAAGTACTATTAGGTGAATGTTGGAGGGGACTACTAGAGATAGAAAGAACACCACTCAGTAAGGCCCACAGTTTAATAGAGCAGCATACTTGCCACAGAGAGAAGTCCAGAATGGCTGAAACAAGAGTGAGGACAATTAGAAATGTGACTAGAAGGTAAGTGGTGGCTTCAAATATGCCACAATGGTCTCAGTGGCTATAAGATGACTTCAGACATCATCTTAAGACCCATGGAAGCCACTGATGAGCTTTAATCGGGTTTAATAGGGAAGATCTACATTTTCAAAAATGATACCTGATTACACTGTGAAATATAATCAGAAGACAAGAGCTGATGGTGGTGATTAGGATAAGACTATGGGATGGTTTTGTCTCCTTGGGGATAATTTAACAATGTCTGGAAATTTTTTTTTTTTTTTTGTACTGGGGATCAAACTCGGGTCCTTGCACTTGCAGGGCAGGCAGCGGCACCACTGAGCTAAATCCCTGGCCCTGGAAATATTTTTGATGGTCATGGTTTGGTTATGGTTGCATATTACTGATACCTAGTGGGAAAAGCCACAGATGCTGCCCAACATCCTACAATACACAGGACAGCCCCACTAAAAGTTTTCTGAAAAAAAATTTGGAATCAAAGTCAAGAAACCCTGGGCTAAAAAACGGCAGCTGGGATGGGAAAGAGGAGATGAATTTGAGAGACATTTTGAAGTGAAACCAGACAGTAACTGAGGAAAATGAAGGTGAGAATAATGTTCTGATTTTTGGCAAGAGATGTAAAAAAGGTACCATATGCACACACAAAGCAGGAGCAAAGAGAAGGAAGCCACTCACGCATTCTGCTAGAGAAGATATGGATGGAGGCAGTACACAAGGCAAGGGCTCTGCAGAGCATTCTCTAGTTCTATCTAAGCCATCATTTAAAATGAAATAAATGAGGGGGCCGGGGATTTAGCTCAGTGGTTTCGCTGCCTGCTGAGCAAGCGCAAGGACCTTAGTTCGATCCCTGGTACCAAAAAAATAAAAAATAAAAAAAATAATAAAACGAAATAAATGAGAGAAGTTTAGCTATTACTTACAATTTTGTCATAAAAATCTTTGGGAAGTTTGGAAAGGATCTCTACTGCTTCCAAAAGCTCATACGCATCTATTTGTGGCACCTCATCACCGTCGTCACCACCTTGAAGGAGAAAAACCAAAGCAAACCATAAAAATGTATGAAACAGATGTACTTATTAAACAGCTACCAGTCCTTCTGTATCCCTGATGAAATCTTAATAGAGAAGGGACAGAATTGTTAGCGTCAGATCCAACTTAAATTATATTAAAGTCAGTCCTTCAAAATATGCCTACTGGAACATATCCTTAAAAAGAAACCTGAGCTTAACACTGGCTTACCCCCTTCAGCATCACCACCAGCAGACTGTTGCTGCTCTAGTTTAGCTTCTAGTTCTTGTTGGGAACGCAGAAACCGAGTTGGTTTAGGAGCACCTGTTGGTAGTTTGACCCATTCTTCTTCTAGTTCTTTCAACTGCAAGAATACAATATTTTAAAAACTTACCTAAATTTCACCATTAAAGAACATTATTTATTTATTTGTTTGGTACCAGGGAGCCAACTCAGGACCTTGCCTTTGCCAGGCAGGCACCGTGCCACTGAGCTAAATCCCTGGCCCAGAATATACTTTATTTTATTTTA